AGAATGCTTCTATATAGATATTTATAGATTCTTTTAATAAGAGAGAGAGGAAACTACTTATAAATTAAATACAAATCCATCCGATGTCTGACATCTGAAAATATTCTATTATAAATAGTTCAATTTCCTATAGAATAACTAACAAAAAAAGATGTCTAATACTTCTATACTCAAAACATAATCTATGCTTTCCTTTCATCTAAAAATATCCGATTATATCTTTTCATTTAATATATATCCAACATAAGTGCTCTTGTACAAATGGATAATAAACCATCTGTATACATATTGTTCTAATTTTCTTCCATTCTCATCATCTAATTAGCTTCTTAAAAAAATACAAATATATATATATATACATTTAGATTTATTTCCCTATAAACACACATGACTCCTTTTGTTTTCCTGTTAATGATGATCTGATATCGAGTTAAAACGAAAAAAGAAAACACATATATATATATAAGAGAAAATGAATCTCTAGTGAGCAATTTTTATAGCACTTAAATTTCATACATAAGATATAAACAGCATACGTTTTTTTCAAAAAAAAAGAAGAAGAAAAATCAAAATCAATTAAATACATGATGATGATGATGTTGACGATGATGGCAATTGACAAGATGAATCAATAGGTGGCCGTTGATAATGATTCATATTAAAATTTAGATTTGTTTGATGATGATGATGATGTTGATGTTGATGATATCCGATCGTTGAAGTTGTATAAGATGATAAAGGTGGTGTTGCAAATGCACTTGGTGTTTGTTGATGTATTACGGGCCATGATTGATTCACCGATGGACTTATACTACTTTCAGTAAAACATTCAAGATGTGATAATAGACGTAAACGAAGTGGATGTTGAACATCAAAACCTTCAACTGATATTAAATAACGTGATATTTCATCAATACATTCACGAAAACCACTAGCATGTGCATCAAATATTGGCCATGTTTGACAAGAATTATTTGAATCTATTTAACAACAACAAAAAAATATTATTTCAAAATAATAATTTTAAATGGTATACCTTTATTAATATTTTGTAATGAACGAAGATGATCAACAGTCATTTGTAAAATTTCAGCTTTTTCAAGTTTAGTTGAACCTTCTTTTGATATGGCTTGTGGAACAAGTCGTCGTAATTCCATTAGACAATGATTTATTCGATCACGACGACGTTTTTCAATAACACCACGACGTTTCTTACGACTTGTTAAATGTTCATAATCATAATCTCTTGGACTTAAACTTGAACTAAATCAAATAAAACATAACTATTTAGAATGTCAATAATGTTTTCCTTAGTTTCCGTTCCCATTTTTGTCTTATCTACAAATATATCTTCCTTCCTGTTCTTGTTTGAAAACAAATCAACACAACGTCAAACAAACCTCTCTATTGAATGTCTAAGATATTTTTTTCAAAAATTAACTAAAATAAATACGTACTCTATAAATTCGTCATCAGAATCACCAGCGCTTTCATATGTATTAACTCGTTTCATGACTTGACTTCGAAAGAGGAAAAAGATTAATTCATATGATGGTAAGGGTCATCTTTTTCTTTTCTCTTTTTTTCTTCGTCTCGTCTCTGTTCTTAACCAACCAACGTATTGCTTATTATGTACAACCTAATTGCTCTCTGAAGAGAAACAGAGAGGGAGAGGGAGAGAGAGAGAAAGGGAGACAGAAGATGAAGGTCGAATTATTAAGGTAGCTTATCGTTCTTTATTATCATTGTATATTTGAAGACCACTTGAATATGAAAATAAAAGTGCCGCACACTTTTACTTGCAGTTATCATTGGAATTAAATTCTTTGAAATTGCACACACGCACGCATTCAAGAAACATGAACATACACCGTATTGTTCTTTCTTTCCGGACAGCGGAAGTTGATGATGATAAAAATCACTTCAAATCTTTTTTTTTCTTTTACACGTGCCGACTGCACATTTATATATGTATGTACGTATATATATTATAAAGACAAGATTCTTCATACTTAGTTGATTGAAATTGCACTCTCTTACTTTTCCGAAGTGTCTCTCCATCTTTTCACAATAACTATAAAAGAAAAAAAATATTATTTATTTTGTCTATAGTCTATAATCATTTTTCATTAAATGCGGCAAGATTGAAACAGAAGACTTATCATTAGTTGTAATCTCTTTTTTTCTCTTTTTTTTTAACATGCTATCTTGTTTCATTCCATTATTCATAGTCTTTTCTCTATTGTAAATCAAATCAGAATTCTAATTTCAGTCGGATGTACAAGAGCATATTAATATGTTTTGATGATCAATGACGATTTTCAAAGGCAACAGAAGAACAAAAAAACAAAGAATACATAATAGAATCGTCATGTTGGTCTTCTTCTGCTATTTCTTCATTGTTCATATCATGAAAAAGATTCTGCAAATGATGATGATGAGATTGTATGAAACATTGTAATCGATTAGATCTTATATGAAAAGAAGCCAATACGGAAAGAAATCTCGAAAGAAGAAAAGGAAATCTGCCGATAAATATATTGATTTGAAAACTATTTGCAACAAGAAATTATAGAGATTCACAATTAGATCAAAAAAAAACTCCAAACCTCTTCTAACTATTAGATATATTTTTTTGGAAATAAGAAAACTCAAATAATGGAGAACTTTTCGAAGAAATGATAAAAGACAATAAGCATTTATTTTCTTTTATTTTATGATGCTAATTAAAATATTGTTTTGGTAGCTGTAGGTGGATACAACATCATAAATATATATCGACAACATGCAAGAAAATAAATGTTATCTAGAATTTGTCTCCTAATTCTTTTTCTTGTTGAAAGATAGAGAACAAAAAAAAAGTCTAGAAAATAAGAATAGCAATATAGAGATAGAAAGAGAGAAACGCGTTCTTACAAATGACATAAGTTAGTATGGAGTGTTATTGCTCTTCTTCTTCTTCTTTTTTCTTTCCATTTTACATTCGGATCGAGAAGAGTTTCAAAAGCAGAGAAATACTTTCGTCGATTTGTTCACTCATATAATTATCTCTCACTCCCTCGTTGAATAGTCTTTTTCCTGTTTTTGTACTTTTATCATATATACTTTAACTTAATATTTTAAAACCTTTTTACTTTACTACTCAATTATCACTTGTTTTTCTTCCATTTGTTATTCATTTTTGTAGTTTCCCAAACAAATAAATTGAGTAATGTAAAAGATGACAATTTTAAATACGCATTAAACATAATTGAACTATCTATCATTCCAGATTTTTTTATCATAGTAAAAAGAATTATATTATGTTCGATGAGCAGTCATCAGGAATCTTCTCATGCATTCTATGTGAATTCGACAATAAGGTCAAATGATATCTCGGATACATTACCGTCGTCTACAATTCCACGACAAATCTTTTTTATTTTATTTCCATGTATGGTTATCACCGGTATCGTTTGTAATTCATTGATTTTTGTGATCATGCGACGTCGACGCATGTCTCATCTATCAACATGTTATTACATGGGAATATTAGCCGTAGCTGATACCAGTGTTTTACTTCTTGGTTTATCTGTCATGTGGATTTTTGAAGTAAATCGTAAATGGTCATTATTATTACAATCGACATATATTTGTAAAATTGTTTCACTTTTATTTTATACTGTATCGGATGTTAGTGTTTGGCTTGTTTGTATGATGTCAGTTGATCGTTGTATAGCTGTAGCACGTCCACTACATGCCAGTTCAATTTGTACAGTGCGACGTGCACGAATATCTGCTTCAATTGTTGTTATATGTATTATATTAATTAATATTCATTTTTTATTTACACATCATTTATCAATAGAAAATGAGTGTTGGTTTCATGAACGTTATGAATTTTTTAGTCGTCATATATGGCCATGGATTGATGCAGCTGTCTATTCTGTTTTACCATTTATATTATTATTAACAATGAATTTAATTATTGTGCATAGTTTATTTCAAGCAAGACGTTCAACAACAAATTTGCAAATCTATCAATCACAGATAACGCGGCAGAAAAATAAATTATCAATGTCAAGAAAATTGACAACAATGCTCTTAGCTGTAACTGGCTTTTTTTTATTAAGTTCATTTCCGATGGTTTGTTTACAAATTTACACAAATATACATAAAAACAATGAATATAAACAACAACTGGCACAATTATATTTAAAACCATTATGCGAAACATTACAATATTCAAATCATTGTGTAAATTTATTGTCAATATTAGTTTTATCAATTAAGTTTTTTTATTTTTTAGGTCAACTTTTTTCTATATGCTATAACAGGTAGAGCATTTCGTCATGAATTAAAACGTTTATTTGATAGTATTGCTGTTAAAATGCATTTATCAACTGAACCAATACAAAAATCAAATGATCGTCGTACAACAACAATTAATATTAATTATTCAACTGTTGATTCAAGTCAAAATCAAAATCAACGTGTAAAAGGAAAACGAACATTTCCTGGTACTCTATCTATTCTTCAATGTCGTCATTCAATTGATTCCACAGCTAGTAATTCAAGTACTGTTCCACGTTATTTCCGGCAACAACAAATACCTTGTGACAGCATGAATGACGTAACATACTGTTTACAAAAAATATCAAATGTATGATATGTTTTTGTATATCATCCCGGTTGTGTAATTTTATTGTCATATTTGATCTATTTATTTTTCTTTTGTTTTGAAAATATAAAACTGTTTTTGGGCAATATGACATCATTTATATAGATCAACTTTTTCGTATTTTTTTCTTCTTTACTACTTACATTTAACATGTGAACTTTGGTAACACATGAAAAGGAGAAAAGTAAAAAAAAATGAAGATAAGAACCATCTACATATTGAGAATAATATCATGTGCCTTTTTGTTTTTACGAAAGAGTTCTTCTTTTTTATCTCGTATCTTTGCTGGACTCTTTTTTTTCTGTATTATAGACAACATAATTGTTTGAGTGAACTAGACATGGCCAAAGGAAAAGATACGAGTTTGTCAATTAATGCCAATGAACGATCATCATTATTAAATAATCGACTAGATGATTCAATACATTCATCTCGAAGAGAATCGTATGAATATTTATTTGCAATTAAGAAATAATATTTGCAATTATTTTTGCTTTTGATCTAGTATACGTGCTCGTTCATCATCATCTGTTAATGAAGCGACTAAAAAACAACGCTTTCGTGATATACGTATTTGTTATTTTGGCATGTTTGTTAGCTCAATTGTATTCAGTATCACTGTTTCATCACTTTGGCCTTTTCTTCAAATCGTATAACTATATTAGTTCTTTTTTTATATTAAATTAACTTTTTTTTCCAATTATCTTATTTAGATTGATACGACATCCGAAGCTACTTTTCTTGGATGGCTTGTTGCTGCATTTTCTATTGGACAATTAATAGCATCACCTCTAATTGGATATATTACAAATCAAACTAATAAAAATACAATGCCTTTAGTTATAAGTACAGCATTGATTGCTGCATCTAATATACTTTATGGTTATGTACAAAGTATTAATAATGTTGGTATGTCAAATAAATGGTGGCTTATGCTTTCTCGTTTTATTATGGGAATTGGAGCAGGTTTGTATTTATTACATTTAATAAGTTCAATGAGATATATATATATGAAATTTTTTGTTTTAATTATTTTAGCTAATTCAACGATAATGAGATCATATGCTTCATCAGCAACAACAATTACAGAACGGACAGCTGTCATGGCTAATCTATCAGCTTATCAAGGAGTTGGTTTTATTATTGGACCTCGTAAATTTTAATTTATAAAATATATATTTATAATTAATATAGTTTGTATCTAGTTATTCAAGCTCTTTTTGCTTTTATGGGATATCCTGGTCCTGTTCATAAGTCTTGGGTAAAAGATTTCGTTTGTTTTCATTTATTGTACAAAATACATTATTTTATTTTCAAAGTTATATCTAAATATTTATACGGCTCCAGCTTTTTTCAGTGCTTTAACAGCTGCCGTTAATCTTGTGCTGTTCTTAGTTGCATTTGGTGATACACGAGTTGCTACATCAACAAGAAAAGATAGTGTCAAAAGCACATCAAATCATAGTAATTTAAATATTTATAATGTTTTTTTTTGAAACTATTTTCTTTTCAGTTCAATCAAAAATAAAATCTTCCAAACGACATGATCAATCAATGGCTATTATATGTTGTCTTTATATGTTTTTTGTTGCTTATTTAACATTTACAAATTATGAAACGTATGCATTTCTAATAACGAGATAAATAATTCATATATAAATTATATATTCTGTTTTGTAAAGTATTGCTTCACCACTTTCAATTGATATGTATGCATGGTCCAAAGAACAAAGTACTAGAAATAATGGTTATATACTTGGTGTACTTGGTGTTATGTCTGTTGTAGTTTTAATTGTTACGAAATTATTAGCAAAATGGTATAAACATTTCAAATAATCAAAAAATTCTAAATATTTTTTTATTTTCTATAGTCTTCAAGATCGAATGTTAATGTTGCTTGGTATGATTATATCTTTTCTAGGTTACGCTGTCTTTTTACCATGGGGTTCTGATTATCCAAGTGTTCAAATTGCATGTAAATCTTACAAAATTAAATTTCAATTCTCTTAATCTCGGTTTTTTCTCTAGCATTTACACCTACGACTGTAACTAGTAGTGCACCAATAACAACCATGACATCTAGTTTACAAACAACTACTGCTGATGCAGGCGATAAAGGTTGTCCACTTGATTATCAATGGTGTTATTATATACCACGTGTACAATTATGGCAATATATATTAGCATCAGTTATTATTACAATAGGTTTTTCAATAAGTAATGTTATTTGTTATTCAATATTTTCAAAAAAACTTGGTGATCGTCCACAAGGTACAATGATGGGTATATTTACTAGTGCTGGTTCATTTGCACGTGCATTTGGTCCAATAGCAGTTGGTTTTCTTTATAAACATTGGGGACCACGTGCTATGATGATATTTATGCTTGTTTTTGTCTTAACTAGTATTATAGCATTACTATTTAATTATCAACGATTAGATGTTGAGGCTGAAGAAAAAGACGATTTTGATGAGGATGATGATGATGATGAAGAAAGGAATATTAATGGCGGTGATCAATATAATAACAATGATGATATTACTGAATAACTATTGACAAATAAGAAAAAAAAGCGTACAATATATAAATCGGGATTTCGTATAATTAATAAAAACAAACAAAAAAATTTACTAGAAGCTATCATTTTCTTTTTCTGTTCTTGTGCATAGAAAATATGTGTGTAGGTGATTATAAGATTATTTGGACAAGACAAAAAAAATGTTCGTTTTGTAATTATACATGAAAAAAAACAAGAAAAAAAAAGATTGGCATCAAAAGTCAAAATAATATATATAGATACAATTAAAAAGACGCGAAGGAAAAAAAAAACATTTTATCAAGAAAATACTGTTTTTTTCGTCAATGAAGAACGATCCTAAAAATAAAATGAACATAGTTTTTTTTTCGACATTAAAAAAAAAAGATTTTAAGATGAAAGACTAACTCATTTAAATTGTAAGCATAATGTGTTAATGGAGTAAGTAATCGAAAACTCAAGGTGTTTTTTTATGTCTTCAATCCTCTAAGGTATTTCTGTCTGACAGTATGATTTATAAGACTATCGTTTATGTCTAACATTGATTAAAGGTGAAGTGTTTATGTTTTACCTTGCCCTCGGCATTGATTAATTTTGTAACTACATTTGAACCTGTATGCCATGTAGACAATAATGAAGCAATAAGATCGCTATTTCTTCGTTCTGTTTCATTTGATTTTGAAAGAACCTAATCAAACGGAAATTTCTCATGTAATGATTACGAAATAATTTTATAATATTATACTTTTAATGATTGATTCGATCGTAAAAGACAATTATTAGGAAATGTAAATGTTAAAATATCTCCATTATCATTTTCTTGATGTAATGTCCAACCAGCAAGTGCAATATTTTTTGAGCGACTTGTATTTTCAATAACAATATATTTTCCTTGTGGCTCACATTCAGCAATTGAAATTGGTCCTTTCGCTGATTTATGAATCGTTGTACGAGATTCAAGTGCTATTCAAATGAAGAAGTATTATATAAGTAAATATATTATATTAATAAAAAAAAATGTATACAGAACTAAAGTGAAGAAAGAGATTATTTAAAATTAATGCTCACTAATATAATACTGAGAAAAGTCATTCTTGTCAGATTTGTTATTTATTGTTGATGTTGCATACTGCGATGGAGGAAGATTATAAGTAATAGGATGTTCAAAAACTGCCGTACGAGGATGAAACATAAAAGTTCCAGCAGTATTATTAGCCGACGCTGTTGCTGTAGCCATTATTTTTTTTTTGGTTCGGTGTGTTGTTTTTCTTTTTCTTTCAATATTATGTGTCTTTACTTTTTTTTTTTGTTATACTCTATACGTAGAAGTAGAATGATCTCAAATAGTGGACAATGCTAAAGCAGCCTTCTTTTTTTTCTCTCTCTTCTTTCATTTTTTTCCTCCTTCTTCCTCTCTCTCTCTCTCTCGCGAGCGTCTCTTCGACCCTCTCTTTCTTTCGTTTTGTCGCTATATAAGTTTGTTCGTTGATGGTGATAGAAAACAATCAAGTCAGTATGTATGTGCTTGCATGCTGATGGTAGATAAATACACACAGCAGTCAACGAAATGAGTATGCTTTTTGTGTAAAGATAAAACGCAACAAAAATTTTTTCTTGTGTGTCGTCGCTTGTTAAAATGAGTAGGAAAGACTGACTTTGTAGTTTTTTTTCTTCTCTTTCTTTTATACAATGCCAATATAACTACATATACGTATAGTCAGTCGAAGGTCATGTCATAGGCTTCCATCAACCACTATTAGTCCTTGTTGTTTTTTTTCAATGTTTCAATAGAATACAAAGAAAAAAAAAAAAGAAAAAAAATCGAAAGACATTTGATGCAACTGTTTTACAGTTGCCCTCAATATACAATCATACAAACTGATAAGTGAACGATTGATATAAATATATATATATGTTGTAAATAGTGCTATCACATTTTGAGGCATAGGTTTGTATGCACAAGTAATCGCAACTACTTGAAAAAAGAATGAGAACAGACAAAAATTGTAGTAAAAGAGAGAACAGAACATGCTTGTTAAAACAAGCGCGTTCATAACATCGATGTGGTTCAAGTATATACACACGCGGCAATGGCAACTATAACACTTGAAATGGAATATTTCATACATTAACAGCTGAACAGTATTGTATTTAAAATGAATAAAAGGCATTATGATAGTAAAAAAAAGAATGCAAGAGACATCTGATCTCTGTCTATTTATTAAGTGCAAACACATTAACATTTGATTGATGGCATTGATTTTCGTTTTATTTTTACTCGCTTATCAACACTATTTTATTACTTACGTCCATCGGGTCCTTCAATAGTTGTTGTAGTTGTGTTAACAGTATTTAACCAAGATGATGAAGGAAGTTTTTGTTGTTGTTGTTGTTGTTGATCACTTTCATTACTACTTAATGATGGAGTACTTGAACGACTACTTGATGTTGTTTTTTGTATTGGCTCGCCGGATATTAATGGTGAATGTGCTTGTGTTGAAGAATATAAAGGTACATCAGTTGGTGTTGATGTTGATAAACGAAATGCCATATCATCATAATCTATTTTCATTGTAACAGGTAATGAAACACCACGTTCACGTTCACGTATAAGAAGTATTTTTTCTTCTGGACTTAGTTGATGTTCTTCTTGTTCTTCGATAGGTATTTGATATAAATCAGTTTGTTTTTGTTGTTTTGATGTTGAAGAAGAATTTATTGTTGATGCACAAGTTTTAAAACTATCCGATTCTGATATATCAAATGAAAATTCATGTAATGGTCGATTAAATATATCAACTGTATCTGGTCGAATTGGATTATCTTGATTAGTAGAATTTTGTTGTTGTTGTAAAATTGATTGAAGTTTAGCAGGATTTGTAGTTCGAACAATTGTCTACAGAAAAGATAAAATGATTCCTTCTTCTTCTCTTTTCAATTCTTAACATTTATGAACCATAAGAAAATGTCATAAAAAATAAATGCTAACAAATTTATCTTCATGAATAATTTATATATAATTATTAAGAAAAAAAATACTTCATAAATAAATTAGTTTTTAATCAATAAGATTTAGAATTTTTTGTTACATGAATTATGAAAAATTCTAAGCTAATATTTGTACATAAGTCATATCTGATGAAAATGTTTTTTAACCTTGGATTAAGATTTATTTTGATAAAAAAAAGGTTATGAATGTCGCTTATCTGAAGTATCCTTTTTCATATATAATAACTTTTATCCTCTTCTGATTAACTCGAATTTAATTTTATAAACATACTTTAGTTTTAACTGTTGTTGCTGATTGATTTTTCTCATCTTCATCATCAGCAAATCCTGAATGATTACTATCATCATCATCAGCTGATGGTTTCCATAAACCAGGATATCCTGGTATAATATAAACATCATCTGATTGAGGTTTTGTTGAAAATGAACTACTATTGGAAATATCATAACGTTGATAAGTTTGATCATATTTATCAGATAAATCATTATTTTGTTGTGTTATTTCATCCATAATACGATAAAGATTTGATATATCCGATGGTTCAAATTCATTAAAATTTTCATCATCAACATCTTCATCTGTACTAATAGCATCTTCATTTTTTCGTTCTTCGGGATTATTTTTTTGTAAATGTATATCATCGGAAAATGAAGTTAAATTTTCTGTCGCATCTAATTCTGTTAAATCATCATCTTTTATTGCAACTTGATTGTTAGCAATAAATGGTTCTGGTAAAACTTGTTGTTGTTCTTTATTTTCTTCCGTTGTTATTTTATTTAATTCATAAAAAGGTATATCAGCTGCTACTGGAAATTGTGGTAAACGTTCTTGAGATGAATCACCCATTTCATGTATTGCATATGAAACATATCGATCTGAACTTGTTATTTGTGATGATGTTGTTGTTGAACTTGAAGATTTTTCTGGTGCTTGTAACAATTGGTCATCAGTTTTTTCTGCAATAGAATTTGAAAAAGATGATTGATTAGCTGCAGATTGAAGTTGAATAGGAGATGCGGAAGGAAGGACTATACTATGTCCTTGTAGTGCATGAATCAATTCAAGCGAATCATCTTCAGTATTTGCGGGTGATGGTTCATGAAAATGACTTGTTGAAACTTGATTGATATCTGCCGTAGCTAATGACTATAAAAAAAAGAGAAATTGAGAGTTTTAAAGATTTTTGAAAATGAATCTTTCTTTTTACCGAATCTGATTGAGATTCATGAGTGGATTGTTGCAAAATATCATCAGTCTATACAACAAAGTAAAAAAGAGATAATACATATTCAGAATTGATTATTTATAAAGTTTTTTTTACTTGGGGTGCGAAAACTGTGTTTTGTGTTGTATGTTCAATAGTCGGTGATGATTGGGTAGGACCTGGAAGTGTAATTGTTATTTTTTCATCTGTTATTTCCATCGTCAGATTATCAGACGATTGAATAACTTCTTCGATTAATTGTTTCATTTCTTCAAATGAACTCTTTCGACTTCCACTCGAAGATTTTTCACCAACAAGATCAGTCCAAGTGATATCTGATATAGAAGTTTGATTATGAGGAATATTCGTTTCTTGATTTGTTATTAACTGATTACTTTCAGATTTATCTTTAGAAGTATTTGAACTAACAACATCATTGTCTGAAGAGAATAGTTGTTGATTTTCAACTGAATTTTGATTTAAATTACTTATGACAGATTGAATTATATTGTTGCTTATATCCTGAATTGTATTAAGAAGATTTTCATTTATATTGGAAATAGTTTCATCAGTTTGATATGAAACTAAATCTTGCATCTCAGCATTTGTATTATGTTCAGATTCAGGTTCTTTAAATGTTAAAACTTGTTCTTTTTCTTCAGATGAAGAAATTTGATCAATTGTATTTGGTATACCACTTTCAACGGTTTCATTAATTGCTGTTGATAGATTTGTTATAGTATCTTGATCTGTTTTGAAATTTGATTCTGTTATTTTTGTATTAATATCTTTATCCTTATTTTCATCGATATTACTTGAAGATATCTAAAATTTGCAAAAATAGATTAGTCTAATCAATATGTAAAGATAACATACATTTTGTTCTACTGTTGGACCACCTTCTTCGACTGTTGAAGAAGAAATAATATTTTGAATTGTTGTTAATGGATGAGTAATAACATTACGAAGTGTTTCAAAAGTACTTTTTGATTCTTCTGACTCAAGATGTTCGGATTCGATTGTCGAATCTAGTTTTTGCTCAAGAGTTGATTGCGTTTCTGAATTTTCAATTTGTTCCGATATATTGACATGTTCACCACTAGGACTGGATATAACACTTTGAATTGTTTCTAATGGATGAGTAATAATATCTCGTATAGTTTCAAAAGTAGTTTTTGTCTCGTTCAATTCATTTTTTTCAGTTTCAGTTGTTGAATCAGATTCTTGACCAACGATAACAGCATTCTAAATATTAAACATGCATTTTTGAATAATTTATTTATACAATAGTTACTTTTGTTTCTTTAGATATATCAGTAGGAGATTTCATAGCGTCCACTGTTGTTTCTTCGGTTTGTTCGCTAACTGAAGTAGGTAAAATACTTTGAAGTTTTTCATTGAGTATTGCCAATGGATGTGTAACTACATCACGAAGAATTTCCAAAGTCGTTTTAGTTTCTGTTGATGTATTTTCATCTATGTTCTGTTCAGTAGTTAATTCATTCTAAATTTAAAAATAATATTTATAATCCTTTCTCCCGAGTATAACATACTGATTTCTCAGTCGCTGTTGCTTCAACTGGAATTACTTCTTGTTTATCAGTAGTATCTATTTGTTCAGGAATTGTTGTAGATGATACAGCTTCCTGAAATTTAAATATTTAATTTAGTCATGAACGTTTTTTAGAAATAATTCATAGTTACTTCGGAAGATGTTGCACTTTGTTTATCGGTAATATCTGTTTGCTCGAATACGATAGCAGTTGATGTTGGTTCCTAAATTTTTAAGTTAATAATCTTAATTAACAATTTAAAAACTATAACTTACTGGAATTTCTGACGATAAAGATTCTACAGATGTTTTTTCTTTTTGTTCATTTACTTCTTCTGAAGGAGTACTAATAATGTTTGATGAAGCTGAAATTGTATTATCAGTGATTAGACCATCGTACGATTCTGTTTTATTAGCCACTGTTTCATCATGTACAGCATCGGACGCAACACTAACTTCATCTTCTGTACGTAAATCTGTTGATGGTTCAGTTGTTGTAACATTTTCTTGAATGTTATCAGATAATGAACTAGTCAAACTGGACGATAATTTTTCTTCGTCAGTAGATGAAATTTCTTGTTCCTCAGATTGAAGATTTGAAACTGTTGTTTGAATAGATTCGGCTAATGCTGTAATTGGTGTAGCAATTGCTTCGCGAATACTTTCAAATATTGTTTTTGATTCTTCTGAAGTGTTGACAGTAGGTTCACTCTAAAAAAAAGTTTCATATTATCATTTCAATTTGAATTTTACTATCACTTACTCCTTCGTCTGTTTCTTTAATATCTGTAGTACTTAATGTTGTTTCATTTTCCGTTTTTGATGAATGTGTTTCTGTTGTTGTTTGTAGACTTGAAACCACACCTTGAATTGTTTCAATAAGTGGTGTAATAGGTGCCGTAATAGTTTCGCGAAGAGAAGCAAGAAGTGATTTTTTAGTATCATCTTCGTCAATATCTGATATATCATTCTAATTTTTAATGATAAAAAATATTTCTATCGATATGAATTGTTAACAAAAAAAAACATTTGACTTACTTGCATAAATTGCTTGTGTTCACCCAAATAACCATGATATACGTCACTACTAATGTAGCGATTAGGAACTGTATTAACCAATGTATCGATTGGACTTACAATTGGTAATTGTGATTCTAGAACTGTTGTTTCAGATCCATGCTGTGCACTTTCCGAAATTTGTGAAAGAAGTTCAACATTATGTTCATCAACTATTGGTTCTTCTTTTGATTCTATTTTCATCTGTTCCAATTCATCCACAGTTTTACTAAAGTCATCACCACTAATAATATCTGAGGCAGCTGTTGATACTTCGTCAACAGTAAATGTATCTTCTTTGGAAGAATCAGTAATTGATCCCGAACGAGTATCAGCTGAACTACTTGAGCGAACTTGTCGTTCACTATCATATAATTGTGATTCAATTGGACTAACAGATCTGATTTGTCTTTCAGTCATATCTGATGGAACAGATTGTTGTTCTGTAGTAATTACTTGTGAATTTGCTTGATCTTCAGTAGAATCTGACACAGCAATTGGTTGATCAAATATATCTGATGATGTTATGGATGAATCAGTAGAAGTTAAAGGATTTATTATTTGATCAGAACTAATTTGTGGTTCTACATCTAAAGATTTTGCTGATTGATCGACAGTAGTTTCTGATTCATCTGTAGTTATATGTTGTTTTTCAGTAGTTGATGATGTACTATTATCTTCACCTGTTGTCATAGTTGAAGATTCGGAAGTGCTACTATCTTCTGTACCACTTTGACTTAATGAGCCTTCATCGTCTTCATTATCAACAACAGTTTCATCCCATCTTACGCGTTTTTCAATTTTTTTTGCTGATATATCACCGACCAAAGCTTGTTCTGTTTCATCCGTTACAGGTACATCGTTTGGTACATTTGTTAGTAAACCTGTTTGCTGTTGAATGAAATCGTTAATTTCTGATGTAGCTTCTTCTATTGCTTGTTCGTCGGTAACTTTGTTTTCATCAGATTGAACCTTCGTATGTTCATTTTCTCCTTCAACCACCGATAACTCTGATTGTTCTGTTTCTTCTTTCTTATCTTCTTCGATTTGTGATTCATGTTGAGTTTGATCTATAAATGAAGTTTTAGTTTCTTCCTTCTTTTCTTCTTTATCTTCTTGTTCAGCTAATGTTGGTACTTGCTGATCTTCTACTAATGAATCAGTTAATTTTTCTTCTTGAGATATCGATGAAGTTTTTGGTTCATCAATAAAAGATGTAGTTTGTTGCTGTTCTTCTTCTGTTGGTGCAGTTCGCACTTGATCTATAAATGGAACTTGTGTTTCCTCTTCTTTGTCTTCATTTGATACTGATGGAACCTGTTGTTCATCTACAGAAATAATTTTTGTTTCTCCATCTTCTTGTTGAGTTAATGATAAATTTTGTTGTTCACTATCTAATACGGTTGTTGATTCTTCTGAAGTTATTGATGGAGTTTGATGTTCATCAACTGACATAGTCATTGTTTCTTCTTTCTTTTCTTCTGCAGCTACTGTTTCAATTTGAGATTGATCTGTATATGAAGTTTTTATTTCTGTCTGTTGATCGTTTTCGGATGTAGAAATAATCTTTGATTCTTTATCTTCTTTTTCAGTTGACGTTGAAGCTTCCTGTTCTTCTATTAATGAAATATTTGATTCTTTATTTTGGTCTTGATTTAGCAATGGGATTTGTTGTTTATCTGTAGAAATGACCTTTGTTTCACTATCCTCTTTTTCAGTCAATAATGAGGCTTGTTGTTCTCCTTGTAAAGAAGCTGTTGATTCTTCTTGAGTTATTGATGGAGTTTGATGTTCATCTATTGGTAAAGTTTTCATTTCTTTCTCTTGATCGTCTTCAGATGTTGATAGAACTAGTTGTTCACCTATTGAAGTTGTTTTTGTTTCTTCGTCTATTTTTTCAACTGGTGCTGGAGTTTGTTCTTCTTCTTTTAATGAAGTCTTTGACTCTTCGTTTACTTCTTGAGTCGTTGGTGCAGGTTTTATCTCTTCTTCTTCAGTTACTGATTCAACATGAGATTGATCTTCAATTAAAGTTTTTGATTCTGTCTCTTGGTCGTCTTTCACAGCTGATGGAACTTGATGCTCATCGGCAGAAGCAATGTTTGTTTCTCCATCTACTTTTTCAGTTGATGTTAAAGTTTGTTCTTCTTGAGTTGTGGAGGATAATTGTTGTTCATCTACAGATGAGGTTTTTATATCTTCTTTCTCTTCTTCCTCTTTTTCAGTTACGGATGGAACTTGATGTTCATCTTCTGTAGAAGCAATCTTTACTTCTTCGGATTCTTTTTCAACTGATGATGGAGTTTGCTGTTCTTCTGTTAATAAAGTATGTGACTCATTGTTTTGCTCGTTAGCTGTTGGTAGAATTTGTTGTTCATCTATTGATGATGGTTTTATTTCTTCTTTGTTCTCTTCAACAGTAGATGTAGTTTGAACTTGATCCTGCTCTACTCGTTCAGCTGTTGGAACAGTTTGATATTCGTCTAATGACAAACTTTTAATTTCCTCTTCAGTTGTATATGGAGTTGTTTGTTCTATATCTTGCGTGATTACTGACGAAGTTTGATGTTCATCTGAAATTGACTGTTTCATTTCTTCTTTCTCTTGTTGACTTCTTAATTGAAATTGATCATTGTCGAGTGCTGGAACGATTGATTCTGTATTCTCATCTTCCATTGTGGATGAAACTTGAGTTTCATTCGATGAAGATAGTTTTGTTTCTTCTTTGGTAGCATCTGATAATGTTTGAGTATCAGATAATGAATTAATATCTGATCTAGCAGTGATAATATTATCTTGTGAATGATCATGAATTAAATGACTAGGTGTTATTCGTGAAATATTACTACTTTGATCTAATACTGTTGTTGACTGTTGTGGCAGTCGACTTTCAATATTTTTATGTTGCAAAATTGGTGAACCATCTGATGAAACTTCGTAATCAAGTACACTTTTACCTGGACTCATACTGCTTACAGTAGAACTTAATGGTGATACACTTGCAAGAATATCAGAGATTTGATTAATTAAAGAATCATATTTGTTAAGAGTATTTTCAAGAATTTGAATAGGTGCAGAAGAAATAGTAGATAAATCTTCTGTCTGTTTTGAAGGTTCAGAGACAACTTTAAGTTCTTCGCGAGTAGTTGGAGTGTCAGGTGATGGAGTATAAAGTGGAGATGGTTTTGTAATATGTGTTGATCGAATATCTTCGTCGTGTTGAAATAAAAGTGTTTCAGGTCGATCAATTGGTTTTTCAAATTTAGGAGTTGGTGAAATTATACGTTCATTTGTATAATTCTGATAGATATTAGAATGAGTTGATAATGGGGCAGATTCAAATGGTCTTTCAAATTTAGGAGTTGGTGAAATTATACGTTCATTTGTATAATTTTGATTGGTATTAGAATAAGTTGATAATGGAGTGGATTCAAATGGTCTTTCAAATTTAGGAGTTGGCGAAATTATACGTTCATTTGTATAACTTTGGTTAATGTTAGAATAAGTTGATAATGGAGTAGTTTCAAATGGTTTAGTGGATGCGTATGAAGATCCTAATGATGACGATGATAAAGATGATGTACTGATATTTGATGGAGGATATGATTGCATAGAATAAGGTGGTATAGGTTTATATATACTATCATAAGATGATTGAGATTGAGATTGATATATAGATGGATTTATAGATGGAGATGGTTGTGTACGAGTTTGAAAAGTTGTATAAGATTGTTGATTATCTACATATGGATTCGAAGAACTCGTTATAGTTGATGTAGGAGTACGAAGTAATGTTGAATAACTTGACGTAAATGTTTGAGATTGAGGGGAAGAATATTGTGTACTTGAAAATGGTTCGTATGTTGTTGATTTTTCAGGAACGAAGCTTGACGAATATGTAGAGCTTCGAGTAGATGAAGGTAATATAGGTTTATCGAATAAATTCGATGATTGAATATTATTATTATTTATATTCTCAAAACGAGTTTGACTCGTTTTTATTGAATCACTTGTAAATAAAGGTGTACTCGTTGGTTTGAGTGGAATTGGTGCAGAATTAGCAAATACAGAAGTACTTAATCGATGGATATGTCTTGTTGGAATTGATTTCGAAGCAAACGTAGATAGATATGCATCTGTATAATCAGAACTCGGTGGTGTAACAGCTTTAGTAGATTGTTGTCCTCGCATTTCACCAGTACCAAAAAAGGTTACTGTCTTTACTTTTCGATTACTACTATCACTTCCACTCCATTGATAAGTACCTGAACGATCATCAACAGGTATCCATTGTGTATTCAAACTAATCATTGCTGGACGGCGTCGATAACCACCATATACCTGCTCAAAAATAGTCGGTTCTGTTCGATTTGAAGATAAAGGTTGAGATGATACATAAGGTGTTAATGTTAGATTATTACTAAAACCACCTGTAAAAAGAATATGAAGTTAATTATTATTTTTTTTCTTATAGATTCTCCCTGCACAAAATCATGCATTTAATCATTGATCATTCTTCATTCATTCACGTCATCATGCATTGTGTATAATGATGCAGCTGAAACTAACTATGTGTATTGAGAAATGAAAAAAAAAGATAGAAAGAAAGAAAGAAAGATAGATAGATAGAAAGATAGAAAGAAAAAATTAATGCTAGTATAAGAATAGAATAAATGAGCAAACTGAACTACAAGCAATGTAAGAAAATGAATAGAATGATTAAAAGAATATATCACTTTGCGACAACATCAACAGTTTGTTCATTTCATATTTATTTGATTATGCATCGAGTGCTTTGAGTCGTAAAGCCAATGCACCTTCTGGTTCAAGAGTAAACCAATCATCAATTAAACTTCCATCATCTAAATTGTAATTTGCCAATGTAATTAATGATTGACCCATGAAAACTTTGTCAGTTGAAAAAAGTGATCGATCATTTTTAACTGTAAGATCTAATGTTTTTAATTTTGCTTCTTCATATGTCATATCATATTCAAATGTTTCATCGAAAACAGGTGCTAATGTATCTTTCATAACTTTGGTGCGTCGTTTGGTTTTTTTACGTTTGTCAGGCAAAAGTAGTAAACGAACATACGGATCTGAAAGGCTATTCTTATCCGTATTAATCAAATCACGTGCTTCATAAACACGTACAATAAGTTTACTACGTGCCCGATCAAAACGTAGACCACAACGAATTTGACCATAACCTTCATCTTTACGTGATGCTGGTAAACGATCACGTCGTTCATGAGGATCTTCTAATGATGAATCGTCACCTTCACCAGTATGACGACCACCTGAACCTCGATCAGTTGATTCACCTTGATCTCGAAGTCGACTAAGAGTACTACCACTTCGGCTAGATTCTTCACGAATAGTTGATGGATGACGATCATTATTACCACGCATATTATCAATAGATGTTGATGATGCTGGTGATGAATGACGATCATATGATGAACTTGTTCCTGCACCGGAACGATATAATTCATCTCGATTACGATTATCACCACCAGATGTTATATTGTCACGGCTACGATAATTATTACCACCTGTTTCACGTTCAGTTGATGATCGATCTCCTGATTCTATAATTATGATAATATTTCTTGAGTATTATTAAATCAAAAATTACGATGAACATCGAATAACGACAATGACGAAGACGACGACGACGACGACAAAAATGATTACAATAACAAGAAATATTAATTGTATTTCTATTTAAATTAAATATATT